AACCTGCTGCTTTAAGGGTGTGATAGAAGTTCACATTTACACATCTGAACGCTCCACAGATTATTCGTGTTGAAAGATGGGATTGTGGGGCAGGGAGGAGGAGGAGGAAGGAGGAGGTAGAAAAGGAGCAGGAGGAGGAAGGTGGAGGTGGAAAAGGAGGAGAAAGGTGACGCTGAATCTGAAGAAGGAGAGAGAAAGAAGGAAAAAGAGAAGGAAGATGGAGATAGAGGAGAAGGAGAAGGAAGGTGGAGATAGAGCTGGAAGAGGAGAAGGAGAAAGAGAAGGAAGGTGAAGATGGAGGAGGAGGAGAAGGAAGATGGAGGAGAAAGAAGCAAGGTGGAGGTAGAAAAGGAGGAGGAAGAAGGTGGTGCTGAAGCTGAAGGAGAGAGAAAAGTAGAAGGAGAAGGAAGGTGGAGATGAAGGAGAAGAAGAAAGAGAAGGAAGGTGAAGATGGAGGAGAAGGAGGTAAGGTGGAAATGGAGATAGAGGAGAAGGAGAAGGAAGCTGGAGCTGAAGGAGCAGGAGCAGGAGAAGAAGGAGAAAGAGGAGAAAGGTGGAGATGGAGGAGAAGGAGAAGAAGAAAGAGAAGAAAGGTGGAGATGGAGGAGAAGGAGTAGAAGAAAGAGAAGGAAGGTGGACATGGAGGAGGAGAAGAAGGAGAAGAAGAAAGAAGGAAGGTGGAGATAGAGGAGGAGAAGGAGAAGAAGAAAGAGAAGGAAGGTGGAGGTGAAGATGAAGGAGAAGGAGAAGGAAGGCGGAGCTGAAGGAGCAGGAGAAGAAAAAGGAGAAGAAGGAGAAAGAGAAGGAAGGTGGAGATGCAGGAGAAGGAGAAGAAGAAAGAGAAGGAAGGTGGAGGTGATGAAGGAGAAGGAGAAGGAAGGCGGAGCTGAAGGAGCAGGAGAAGAAAAAGGAGAAGGAGAAAGAGAATGAAGGTGGAGATGGAGGAGAAGGAGAAGGAAGGTGGAAGTGGAGGAGGGTTTTAATGGAGATTCTACTGAAAGAAATAAAGATCCCTATAACAGTCTTTCTCATTGATTAGAATTTTATATATGAGAATGAATTGTATGTTGCTTAATTTTAATGGTTTTCTCAAAGTATCTTGAGAATTCGAGTTGAAATTCCTCCATAAGGAATTTCCCACCTTTAAAGAATTATGGCTCACAGAGGTGTTTATGGAAAAGGGATTACAAAACCTGTCCAGGTGTTCTTCTGGAGAAATGTGTGAAAAATTAGGAATTCTAGGAGTTGTAGTTCCAGGCCATGAGGAAAGCTACAGGTAGTCCTCGACTTACAACAGTTCGTTTAGTGACTGTTCGTAGTTACAACAGCACTGAAAAAGTGACTTCTGACCATTTTTCACACTTAACGACCGTTGCAGCATCCCCATGATCACATGATCAAAATTTGGCCACTTGGCAACCGACTCATAGTTATGACAGTTGCAGTGTCCCGGGAGTCACGTGATCCCATTTTGCGACCACCTGACAAGCAAAGTCAACGGGGGAAGCCAGATTCACTTAACAACCCTGTTGCTAACTTACCAACTGCAGTGATTCACTTAACAACTGTGGCAAATAAGGTCATAAAATGGGGCAAAACTCACAACAATTGTTTCACTTAGCAACAGAAATCTTGGGCTCAGTTGTGGTCATAAGTTGAGGACTCCCTGCATTCTATGGCACTTATGGGAAAGTTATCCCCAACAAATTAGATATGGGCTGTGGAACCCTTTTTGGCATGATTTTAGATCCCCCGCCAAAAAAAGTTAAAAACAAAATCCCTAAGGACTTTAGCTCTTTTAAGTTCATCACTGCAAATCAATTTAAATAGTGTCTGAAAGTTCCAAGTCAAGAAACTGGCATTAGTCCAGAGTGAATTAATCTGAAATTAATTTGATTTTGAAAGGCTCCATCTGGTTATGTTTGGAAAAGGCAGTTAGACAGAGAAAGGAAGATATAAACAAATGATCATCTGTATTCTCCATGCCAGATGTTTTCTGGTTTTTTTCCTTCCCCCTTTTTAAAAAATGAAGAATATTTTTTTTTTAAGTGATGGAAAAGGTGATGATGCGGGCTGTCTCTTGAAGTGGCAGTAATTTGCTTTTTACAAATGTTTTCTTTTTAAAAAATAAAATAAAATCAGAGGTTCTAATAGAAAAGAAATGGACAGAAGACTTCAAGAGATATAACATTACTAATCTTAAAAACTGAGAATTGGACAGCCGTAATGTAATTTCATTGACAAGAGTCACACAAAAGAAAACGAGGGTGAAATTGACAGCGTGCTATAAAATTAGGGCATTTAAACTGAAATAGAGTGAAAGACACATTATCAACCTCAAGCATATGACCTGAAATTGCAACCAATTTTTTTCCACATCTGCAAAGAACTATATTATTTATAAGCTGCAGTTTGTTAACCGCACTATGGCAGTCCGATTCATGCAACATGCTAAACTACGCCACGACTTAACCAATCACGGAGTTCGCACAAGTGCTAACCTGCTCTAAGAGAGCCATTCCAGCTTATCACATTGTGTGAGACCCCACTGGGCCTACACCCCATAGTTGTATACAATGACATGTAAGGTTCTAATGCAGTGGTTCTCAACCTTTTTAATGCCGCGATCCCGAACCGGTCGTAAGTCGAGGACTACCTGTATTTCCCTGCCTGGGAGTGGCGCGCATGTGTGGTGCTGCCCCCTGCGCCAGCCGAGGCGTAGCTGGCAAGGGGCAGTGACGGCGCAGGGTGACCACTGGCTGGGCCACCAGCTGGCCCAGCCCAAGGAGGTAAGCTACCCGCTGGGCCCCACGCGCGCCAGCTAGCCTCCCTGCACCCGCCGCTGCCCCGCTAGCCTTACCTTGGCCGCCACCCGTTTGGGGTGGCAGCAGGCAGGCCCAGGCGCTTCTGGGCGGCCACGGCAAGCAGCAGCAACGGCACATGGCGACCACCAGCTGGGCCACCAGCTGGCCCAGCCCAAGGGAGGTAAGCTACCCACCGGGCCCCACACGTGCCAGCAGCCCTCCCTGCGCCCGCCGGCCTCCCACCCCTGGCCCTCTTTTACTTACTTTTAGCAGGTGCTCAGCAGGGAGGGAAGCTTTCCAGAAAGTTCGCCTTGCAGCACCGTTTGTAGACTGGGGCTTTTGGCGGGCTCAGCAGGGCAGAGACAGCCTGGACAATTCCTATTGGCTTTTGAAAGCCAATAGAATTAGACTCTATTCAAGAGAGTCTATTCTATTGGCTTTCGAAAGCCAATAGATTCTATTGGCTTTCGAACACCAATAGAATAGAGTCTCTTGAATAGAGTCTATTCTATTGGCTTTCAAAAGCCAATAGAATAAGAGGGAGTAGCACAGCTAAAGAAAAGGGGAAAAAATGACGGACAGCCTTGTTTGGCGACCCCCGTGAAATGGTCATTCGACCCCAAATGGGGTCGCGACCCATAGGTTGAGAACCGCTGTTCTAATGGGAAAAGGAGAGAACTAATCTTCAGCATTTCATTTTTATTTGTTGTCTTTATATTTCACCTGCCATTCAGAAGCATAAGCCAGCAGTGGTTAAGGGGCTGGCCCAGGGGTAGGCAACCTTGGCTCTTTTATGACTCGTGGACTTCAACTCCCAGAATTCCTGAGCCAGCCACGCTGAGGGGAAAGGGAGAGGTTTCCAAGCAGAGCCAGGCTGGCTCAGGAATTCTGGGAGTTGAAGTCCACGAGTCATAAAAGAGCCAAGGTTGCCTACCCCTGGGCTGCTGGCCTAAAAACCAGGAGATGGTGAATTCTAGGTCTGAAGTTTCTTGGATGAGAAGCAAAATGTCTTCAAGGGAAAAAAAACAAAGAAAAGTCCAGTTGCCTTTTGAAAAAGTACCTTTGGGGCAGCCATGACCTGGATGACTGAGCATCTCCATAGACATCATGTTTGGAGAACCTGCATTAGTGTAAGGCAGGGGTCTTCAAACTTGACCCTTTTATGACTTGTGGACTTCAGCTCCCAGAATTCCTCAGCCAGGCTGAGGAATTCTGGGAGTTGAAGTCCACAAGTCATAAAAGGGCCAAGTTTGAAGACCCTGGTCTGGATCCAAGCCTGTAGTTTCATCAAAATGGCCGACTGAGGAATTCTCTTGAAGTCCACAAGTCATAAAAGCGCCAAGTTTGAAAGACCCCTGGTACAAGGGCTTGAAGTTTCCACCCCTCTGGAAATTACATCTCTGTGGCATTTGACCAAAGAAATATTAAATTTAGGGTTTTTATTTTTTATTTTTTAAAAAAAGAAATCTGCTTAACCTGGGATTAGCAACCCTGTTAATGCATTACCCCCCCATATGTGCAATAGCTGCAGTTTTTTGCTTTCTGTAAGCTTGTGTTGTGTTTCCATTGCTCTTTGTATCACATCTTTGAAAGCTCTCCATCATTCGCTGCTACGTCCATTTTTCATTCTGGAATCATTACCAAAATGAGAGCATTGTCCCTACCTTTCACTGGAGATGGATGTGCGCATGGCACATCCATCCTTTTCCTTTTAATGCTCTCTCCCCCTTTCATCTCACAAGTCGGCGGGTTGTTTTGCTTCTTTTGATACTCCCCATTTCATCCCATTTCATTTCATGGTGGGTCTATCTGGAGCCTTGAAACAGAGCCAGCAATGAAAACTAGGATACAATTGGGTGGGCCCCCCTCCTTGTATTCCATATTCGGTTTCCATGTGAATATATCCATTAAAGCCGTATGAATTCCCTTCCACATTCATGGCAGTTTTTTTATTTTTTTAAAGAAAGGGCATGGGCATATTTTCACATACCGGTTGTCCTCGACTTACAACCATTTGTATTGTATTGCGGTGGTTGTGGCTATAATTTTGTTAATTGTAGCACTTTACCTGGAAGGGTTAGTCAGGCCTCACTGTCTTTATTCCTTCCCTTTTGTTCGTTGGCCTTGAATCATATCTCTCAAAATTGCCCTTTCTCTAACCACATTCTTTCTCCCTTTCTCTCTTGTGTTTACTAGCAACGGCACAGCTAACAAAATGAATGGCGCTCTGGATCACTCAGACCAACCAGACCCGGATGCCATTAAGATGTTTGTCGGGCAGATCCCCCGCTCGTGGTCGGAAAAAGAATTGAAAGAACTTTTTGAGCCTTACGGAGCTGTTTACCAGATCAACGTACTCCGAGATCGGAGTCAGAACCCACCCCAAAGTAAAGGTAAGGGCAGGTTGACACCCTGGACCATAGAGGGGTTCTTATTGAGTTGGTGGGCTTCATCTCCAATTGGTTATAAGGTTTCTTAGTGCCTCTCAAGATTGGGGAAATGGTTTCTATATCCAACCATCCATCATAATTGATAAGGAAAGTCACAAATGGTTGTTATTTGGTAAAACATTACCAACCAGATATCTTCAATGCTAGAAGGAAGAGGAGATTGCTTGGATATTTTCTTGCATGTGTTTCATTGCCCAATGAGGTTACATCATCAGTGCTTCAAGCAAGTGTTTATATACAAGCATTTTGCCCTGTCAGTGTTTGTGGATACTGGAGAATTCCTGTAAGACTGCCATTAGGACAAATCCGCCATCAACAGTCACATAGAGATAAACAACATCTACATACCTTTTGAAAGAGACCGTTAAAAAAGCTAAAAAGGAAACAAAAAGAACAAAAGCCCTCATTAGCAATCAATACCAAGAGCTCAACACCAAGATCAACAATATACCAAGAATCAAGCGGTAAACAATACCCCAATCGAGGAACTATTAAGTCAGGCAAAGAAGCTAACAGTAAACAACAGACTAATCAAAGGTCCACCAAGATCATTCCCACCAACAGTGAACAGGATAAGCCACTTGCATATAGCAGAGAGCAAACCCACTCCTTTCAAGCACTGATGATGTTACCTAGTTGGATAATGAAATGTCTGCGAGAAAACAACAAAACTCAGATAGCATGCAGGACCTCACAGTTCAGCCCTGAGCTGCAAATATTCTCTTTTTATCTCTGGTGGCTGTCCTCCAATCTTTGTCTGGTTTCATAAATGACTTCCTTGTCTCTCAGCTAGCTTACTTGTTGCTTTCTTCTCTGCAGTCAAATTCGTCATGCAGTCAAATGGCCAATGTGGTCATTTCAAAGACCCGTGGCATCCTTCTAAATAGTATATCTGTTTTGCTCACGCATGATCAGATATGGTTACCGATTCTGGCTTGCAGACCCATGGCAATCTAAGCTTCTCAAGTTGAAATTTGTGTTGCCGTTTTATAGGCCCACTTCTTCAACTGTGGCTTGCAACGGAAAGTCTGCAAGATACATTCACCACGGAGAGCATTTGAAAGGGGCCTGCAGCTGTCAAAGCTGCACATCCCTAATTTTGCCCTCCACATGCAAACATCTTGAATTTCGTACGTGTCTCTATTTGGACATTTGTTTACTTGCTTCGGTTGTGCTCAATTTCCTCCAGCTTTGCTCAGCTACTGTCACGAGGGTGGAAAAAGACAATATCTTTCAGAATCAAACCGCTTCTAAAGGATCCCAGACAGCTTGGAAGGCTGCAAATGGCAATTATATGATTCCAGGATAGTGCAACAGTCATAAATACATGCCAATTGTGAAGTGCCTGAATTTTAATCTTGTAACCCTGTAACCATTCTGTAATGGTTGTAAGTTTGAGAATTGGCTGTAAGCAGTGGTGGGATTCAGCCAGTTCGCATCACTTCGGCAGAACCGGTAGCTAATTTTTTGTTGCCCAGGCCCAGAATGGACTTCTGGAAGTGGCATCCACACAGAGAACCGGTTGTTCACATATTTAAATTCCACCACACTTTTTCCAGTCCCACTGTAACTTTGAAGAGTCACTATACGAATGGGTGTAAATTGAGGACTGCCTGTATTGGCAACTGAAATTGGGTCTGCAGAATTTCTTGAAAATGTTCTCATTGTTCTGAATTGATTCTCAAATGCAGTAATGATACTCCTGTTGTTATTTTTCAATGTGGAGAGAAGTTCTATTTTTATACATTGGTTTGATAGGATTTGATTTGTCATTTTGGTATTATTCCATTGCCCTTTTTATTAAGTTGCAATTTAAATGAAGATTTATCAGTGAAGTTTAAACCATGAGTTTCACTGCCAAAGGATGTGGGAAAACCACTAATTTGATATATCTTAATTTAAAAGAGAATTTAAGGGCATTTATAGAGTACCTGTTTTTTCAGTGGCTGCCAGTGTAGAAAACAGGAGGACTATTATGTCAGTGTTTACTACTTATTGTATAGAGCTTGGTTTATTTATTTTTTTTTTTTAAAAAAAAACCTGATTTCCAGGAGATTTTTTTTCAACTTCTTAATCAGACCTGAGACTCTGAATTTCCCTGGTCATCTCCCATCCAACTACTAACCAAACTCAACCCTTCTTAGCTTTTTTCACATTACCACCTGCTGTATTTTTTTTTTTTTAAAAAAACTAACATTACTCAGATCAGTCATTTGAAGAACAGGAATACGGATGGATTTGCATGGACATTTGCATATCAAAAGGAGGATAGTCCTTTAATATACAACTTAGAATAGGCTGCATTCTTTGCTGATTTTTACACACGTATAAACATAGCCAAAAGTAGGACAGAAAATAATAGGAGCCAATCTGGATGCAATTTGGACCAATTTCTGACAAGACAGAGAGAAAATGGAAAGAAGAGTTAAAATGTGCATGGTTGATTATGATTGATTATGTGCCATCGAATCGATGTTAACTTTTAGGCACCACTTAGATTTTTTTCCTTGACAATCTCTCCCTGACTTGGTCCTTCAGCTCTGTAATAGCAATAGCAATACCATTTAGACTTATATACCACTTCCTAGTGCTTTACAGCCCCTCTCTAAGTGGTTTACAGAGTCAGCATATTGCCCCCAACAATCTGGGTCCTCATCTTTACTGATCTTGGAAGGATGTCAGGATCGAATTTCTGGCTGTGGGCAGAGTTTGCCCGCAATATTGCATTCTAACCACTGCGCAACCACAGCTTCTTTGATGCATCCATCAACACTATTAATTACGTCCATCCACTTTGTTGCTGGTTGTGCTCTTCTTCTCTTTCCTTCCATCTTTTCCTGCCTTACAGTCTTCTCCAGAGAGGTAATTTAATTTTGCCCTCATTTGGGGGGGGAAGGAAATGAGTGAAAAGAGACTTGTTTATGGATAGCAGGACATCTGAATCCTGAGCATAATGTGGGAGATCGAAAAGGGCAGTCAACTCATGGTTTCAGTGGCTAACTTTTTTTTGACTTTCGTGTTATTATATCTTATACAGGTAGTCCTCAACATACTATTTACAGGAATAGTAACCGTCTGAGGTTACAATGGCGCTGAAAAAAATGACTTATTGTTTTTCACGCTTATGTCCATTGCAGCATTCCCACAGATATGTGATAAAAATTGAGACACTTGGCAACTGATTCATATTTACGTTGATTGCAGTGTCCCGGGCTCTGGTGATCCCCTTTTGTGACTTCTGACAGCAAAGTCAATGGGAAAGCCAGATTCACTTGACAAGCGTGTTACTGACCTAACAACTGAGTAATTCACTTAACAACCAAGGCAAAAAAGGTCATAAAATGGGGCAAAACTCATTTAACAACTGCTTCACTGAGCAATAGAAATTTTGGGCTCAATTGTAAGGTTGTTAAGTCAAGGAGTATCTGTATGACAAATGACCAGGTCTTCAACGTTCTTTCAATCTTCTTTAGTTTCACATTTACAGCAAATACAATATCTATGAAGATGGCCAAGTAAGATAAGATAAATAAGATAAGCTTTATTGTCATTTTTTTTTAACTGGGCACAATGGCACGCATCAAACAATGAAATTGTGTTGCCCGCTCTCAAAATGAAACACATACATGACACACACCTAAAACATACTATGATCTCAAGGCAGTGGTCTCCCTTCAACACATTTTTTTTTCAAGCGGTTGGTCATTGTCCTGAACAAAAATCTGATTGTCCTTTTCACGACATCCCAGCAGTATTGGAGTTAAATACTTGGACTTCTCAGCAATTGAGCCAGAGTAGGGATTTTCAGACTGCCGCATCCCAGCTGCAGCCTGTTTCGTAATTGACAGAGCACAATATTGATTGTGGGCTTATTAAAACCACATGCACATTTTTTTGCACAGAGCAGGCTGTGCAAAACAAACCCAAGCTGATCTACCAAAGTCTTTCTCCGCCATCAATGTCCTTCATTTACGCCCAATTAGTTCTGTCTGTTTACATCTGGTTGTAAAGAAGCAGAAAACGGGAATAGATGAGCTGGAATTTTGGCTTTCCTCTTTCTGTTTTTTACTAAGTACGTTTTTATTGCCGTTCAAATTCTTTACCCTCCTTTTTGTTTTGTTTTTGGCTGGTAGCTTTTTATACTTCAAACTAAAGAGCTTAACACTTATTTTCTATTTCTGTGAGATTGCTATCTGCCATCACTTCAGTCATCTCGGTTTGTGACTTAGTTTCTGTTCTGTCACTGAATCTTGTTAAAGCTTGTGATTCCTCAGGAAAGTAAAGACAAAGATTTCCTTGTCCAGTCATGTCCAACTAGAGGCATGGTGCTCATTGGACTCAATGACCTCCAAGGTCCCTTCCAACTTTATTGTTGTTGTTGTTGTTGTTGTTGTTGTTGTTATGGATCATCGCAGAGTCAGCCAGATGTTCAGACTGGATTTGGCATTTTGTCTACCTATCGAGTCCTTACCCAGGACCTGGGATAGGCAGATGTGGATGTTTGATGGTATTACAGGTATCGTCGCAGGATGGAAGCAGTTCCTAATAAGGCCGCCTTTTGCAATTGACTAATATCAAATTTGTCAATGCCAATGGTGTTCAAGTGGTGCTCCAGTTGTTTTGGGATTGCGCCCAAGGAGCCTATGACTATTGGTACTACCCTTGCTTGCTTTTGCCACAGTCTTTCTATTTCTATTTGTAGGTCTTTGTATTTTGTTATCTTCTCCAGTTCTTTCTCGTCAATTCTGCTGTCTCCAGGCACTGCCACGTCCACTATCCAGACTTTTTTGTCTTTCTTATTGACAATTGTTAGGTCTGGGGTGTTATGTTGCAGGTGATGATGATGATGATGATTATTATTATTATTATTATTATTATTATTATTATTATTATTATTTCTTAGCCAAGGGAGCCAGTGTTGTCTGAAGACTCTTTCCATGGCC